TTCTGCGATAAGCGGTAAGCAACATTCCTCTCACTTAAAAAGTGACATAACCATCTTAAGCGGTATACTATAATTTAATCAAATGCACTTTAAAAAAAAAAAATCACTTAATTACCGTGTTCTGCCTTCAGCGCTGAATTAGGAAATCTACATAGGCCCTTAGAATTTTATCCCATTTTAAGTAGCTCTTACAATTTTTAGTGATATTCAAATTGCGTTATCAAACGTATATAATTGGATAAACGCTTAATTAGTGAATTCTTCAATATAGAAATTGTATCATTCCCTCTTTTTGTTTGATTGCATGGAAGAGAAGCGAATGTGATAATAACTTATTTTATTTGTTATGAGAGAAGAGAAGAAGAGTTTTAATTATAATGAAAGTTTTGTAATTTAAAAACTTTTATAAAAACCTTACCTTTTTTTTTTTTTTTTCCCTACACGTCTTCCATCCATATTTGGAGGGATAAAAAATTGTGAAAGATGAATGATAACTCATCCATTATCTTTTCTTGTCTCCTTACCTCATCTTTTCCAAACTAGGAAAATTTGTTTCTTCTTTTTCATCTTCCTTCTCTCCTCTTCTTGCCAAACGGAACATTGGTCTGAAGTACAAATCATTACAATTATACGTTATTAAATATGTTCGTTACCAAATGATATGTAACTTAGTAGTATTTTCTTGCATTCCAAAAGAGAAGATCGAGGGTTTTTTTTTTTTTTTTTAAAAAAAAAAAAAGAAAAGAAAATCAAAATGGTCCAATTACAAAAGAAGATCGAGGTTCAAGTCTCTCTAGAGCAAGTGGGTGTGTGAGTGTATTATATATCTTATTTAAAAGGTATTTTTGTATTTAACATAAACAATAAGGACAAAATGATATCTTTCACATTATAAGCAGCTTGGATTTCCACCCTAAAATCATTAGTGTGTGTTTGCTGTACATGAATGAAATGGAATGGAATGCAAGTAGGAATGAAATGCGAATGGGAATAGAATGGAATGAACATTCTCATTCCATTGTTTCGTTGTATATATGAAATATCTAGAAATGAAATTAATGATAATAACCATTCTAGTGTTTGGTTGGACCAATTTAAAATTTAGAATGAAATAAATTTCAAATTGAATTCTCCAAAATATCCCACTTAATAACAATTAAATTAAATTAACAAAATGACATTCTTCTATAATTTTTTTTTTAAAAATAAATGGTGGCAGTGGCGGTGATGGATGGTGGTGGAGGGAGAAAGCGGTAATGGTGTAGATGGTGGTGTTGGAAGGCAACAGTGGCGGTGCTGGTGGGAGGCGGTGGTGAAAGCCAATGGAGGTGACTGTGGTGGTGGTGGAAGGCAATGGAGTTAGCGGTGGCAGAAGGTGGTGGAAAGCGGTGACTATGGTGATGGAAGACAGTGGAGGTGGCGGCGGTGATGGTGGAAAGTGGTGGAAGTGGTGGCGCTGGTGGTGGTGGAAGGCAATGGGCTGTGGCGGTGGTAGTGGAAGAAGGTGGCGATGGTGGTGGTGGTGAAAGGCAGCAGTGGTGGAGAAGGCGATGGTGGTGGAAGGTAGTGGTTGTGGTGGTGGAAGGCGGCAGCGATGGTGGTGGAGGTGAAAGGCGGTGGAGGTGGTGGAAGGTAGCAGTGGTGAAAAGGAGTGACGATGGTAGTGATGGAAGGTGGTGGCTGTAGTGAAAAGTAGTGGCGGTGGTGGATAGTAGTGGGCGGTGGTGAAAGTCGATGGCAATGGTGGTGGTGGTGGTGAAAGGCGGATGTGGTTTTTGGTCTAGGAACATTAGGTGGGCGGTGGTGGAAGGTAATGACAATTTTTTGACTTAGAACATGAGGGTTTTTAGGAAGTTGATTTTTTTAAAAAAATTATTTGGAAATTAAATGACCATTCCATAGGTTTAGTTGTGGAATGGATATTCATTATCAGGAATGGATTTCATTCCAATAAAATGGTCATTCCCACTTTAAATTGCATACAAAACAAATGAATGATTCGAATACGCATTCTATTTAATTTCATTTCTGCACACCAAACGTAACATTAATTAGCAGAACTGAATTAATGTTTTAAACAGTTAGGTCATGGAAAAAATAAAAAACTAGGTAATGATTTTTCTATATATATTTTTTCATTTTTATCAAGAGATATCTTAATAGCAATATATCTCCAACAAATTATGCTTCTTGCCACAAAATTTTTTGCCAAATTATTTGTTTCAACATAAAATATTTTCTTTAGAAAAGATTTTCCTTTTTCAGGTAAAATATATATATTTTTATTTTTTCTTTTTCAGTGTTTGGCAAAAGTTTTAATCGAGTCTATCGGGAGGGACGCGTAAAATAACTTGCCTGGATAAGTAATTTTTTTTTAGGCTTTAATATTTTTAATTTTCGTAAATATTTTTCGACAACCAAACACCAAAATTTTAAAAATTATTTAAAAAAAAATATTTTACATCCAACAAACGTAGCCTAAGAATTTGATATTTCATTCTCTTTCCGTTCCAATGGAACCAAAAAGGGTGTTAACAATGTCTAAGACCCAATCTTTAATATTTTTAATTGAAACTCGTATTCCATGATTGAGTTCAAGTATGTGAAATAAAAGTCAGAATTGAGATATCCTTTTTATGGTCTTATTTATTTATAATTTAAGTAATGCTATCATGAAAAACAAGAGGTATGAGTTCTTTTTGTTGATATAGATTTTTTGAGATGGATACAAACTCAAATTAGTCATTTAATAAATTTATCAATTCATTGATTAGATAAGAGAGCTTATGATGAGAGGGATCTCATGATAGCATTACATTTTATATATATTTTTTTCCCTACAATAATTAACTTCCAAGGAATATTCAGGAAAAAAAAATAAAAAAATAAAAATCTTGCAAGGAATCAAACATGTGTAATAGCATGTGTGTGTGTGGTCAATTTATTAATTGCTTAATTAGGATGAGGATTCAGTTAAAGCATACTTTTTAGTATAAAAAAAAATGATGGAGTTTAGGCGTTCGAAGGCATCATAACTTAATAAACACTTCATGTTACTTTTGGTGTCAGAGCACAAAAAAAAAAAAATTCTATAAAAGTAAAGGTATAGCCCCACATTGAAAATGATTTCAGGGGATAGGGTAATTGATTTTGGCATGTCCCAATTCTTTTCTCTCCCCATGATTCCCTCTCCACTTGCAATATACAACCCCAGACAGAATTGTGACAATCTGGACTAAAGAAGATTCAAGTCTCCTTGTGTGCGCGCGCGCGCGAGAGAGATGATGGTAGCTTGGAGCCCCGTAAATATTGTACACTAAAATCCAAATCTGCAAATTTTTTGAAGGGTATTTTGGTCATTTTATACTTGTTGGTAGCTTGGAGCCCCATAAATATTGTATACTAAAACCCAAATCTGCAAATTTTTTGAAGAGTATTTTGGTCATTTTATACTTGTTTTGTTCTTCCAATGCTAGAGTATTTATTCATTATCAAGTTCCTGTATTGGAACAATTCCGGTGGGAGGTTTATTCATTCTGAACACAAAGTGTGAGTATTTATTCATTTTAAACTCTTATCATTTTTTATCATCATTGTAAAATTTTTGCAATTCTTTAACCCTAATTTCGATGAACCAAATAAAATTCGGTATTTAAAATTAGCTGGAGGAAAAGGAATAATAATCACATCATGTTTAAATGAAGTCATTCAATTCGGTGCCAAGTCATTCAATTCCGTGCTAATAATCATTGCACTTGGCCTTTTTTTTTTTTTTTTTTTTAAGTGATTTGCCCTCCAACAGGAACAGATCTTTAGTTCCATCACTCAGTTTAAATGGTCATTGGTTGGTAAACTTTTATATTCTTTTTCTTTTTCTAAAAGTAATTGTAATTGTTCTCTAATTCAAACTTAATTTCTTATCATTGCGCCAAGTAACCTTTTTTATTTATTATTCGCCATTAGCCTAACTTGTATAACCTTTCATTCTTTCCGAATCAAGTCCCATTGGTATTGTTGTGAGCATCTACCTAACCCAAAGAAAAAAGACAGCACATCACCCACAATGATCAAACGCAATAGTCATGTTTCCTCCGGTGGTTAGTGATATACATTACAAAAATGTTATCGTGTATGATTAAACATCACTAACTGGACAGAACGGTACACTGTTTCAAATGAGAGGATACGATTACTCAGTCATCATGTCATGCTCATTTTCTTTTAGTTACTGTGCAGGTGATACCTACCCCCATAGAATACAAGTTAGTATTGGCCAGTTTATCAGTGGTCCAATGTTGGTATAAGACCATCTAAAAATTTGTTAGCCTCTTTCATGTAAATTATTAGCCTTTATCTAGAAGGAAATGCACGATTGGAGGGTTTGGGGGATAAATATGTAAATTATTGGACTTCAGAGGAATAACAAGCTATGGAATTGCAACACTGGGAACGATTTAGTGAAATGATGGAATTGTGTAGCCAATTTCACATAAAGCAAGGGTAGGAACAAGTATGAGAGCGGGAGCAAATATAAGAGCAAAGCAAAAAAAGACAAAATCTAAATCGTAAAAACTAAAGTAAGAATGAAAAGGTGCACTGAACAGAAGTGCGCACAAAACGTGAAAAAAGTATCCGTTTAAAAAAATTATGTCATACCCATCGAGCCAAGAGACAAAATAAATAAGTTTTTTTTTCCGTCCCTCTCTTTATTTTATTCTTTTTAAAACTTACCTCTCCTTTTTCTTCTTTCATGTCTGGCATGCCTCCTCTTTTATTTATTATTATTATTATCATAATCATCATCATGAGCCATGCCTACTTATTTCTTCTCAAAATGCTACTGCATAAAGTCCACAACACACCGAAAATTTGCAGAATGAAAATCATTAATTCTTGGGAAGCTCCAACATTCATCATTTCAAGGGCGGGTAAATTTTAGGGAAAGTAACAAATAATTTTATCTACTGCAGCTCAAACTGAATTCATAAACACATCAAAGATACATAATAACAACATCAGGGCGCCGAATTCGAACATTAGGTAATGCCTCATATGCAAATCACACGAAGGGAATGCAAACAACAAGCCAATTAACAGAGAACACACAAACTAATAAACAAGTACGCAGCATACATAGATACAAAAGTGGCAGTGTAACATGATGCTATAAACAAGATGGCACGAACATTGTGCATGAAGTTATTCCATCCATAACCTTTCCAGCACAGCCGTTACGAAGAAAGGGTTTTAAAACCGGCTACGGAAAACCAACAATATGGTCTGGCTGACCGGGAGGCGAAGGCTTCGGAATGTTAGGCATAAGAGGAGTGCCATGCTCGATAGGTCCAGGTTTTATGGAGGCCTTCGAACTTGGAACAGGATCGACCGGCTGGTAATCTTCCAGATTTACATTGCCTGCATCACCCTTGTCACTGCTCGAAGAAGTATGGACATGCTCCTGCAGATGGGAAAAGGGAAGAGGTAAAAAGAAAAGAACCAAATCACATCCGAATGAAAGAAAAACCCTTGTTTGTGACCTAATTAAAATGGAAAGAGATTCTCGATTAAGGCCTCTCAGTCAACTAAGGTAGGTTCTGTCACAGCTTTCTGCATGGTAAAACTGACTTCTAAGCCCCAAAAGCTCTTCAGTTAAGTGCATGTACCTTCAGCTTCCTGCTTGTTGCAGTCATTGTCATACCATTCCGATGGCTAGTGAAAGCCGTATCTGCAATTAATTTGGAGAAGGATATATCAGCAATCAGATTACCTGTATTTCTTTAAGCAATTATGAAAGTGTAAATCAGGCCTAATTTACTAAATTCACCAAATTTGAGCGCAAGTAACTCCCTACGAAATCAAGTGATAGCAACTGCATTTGTCATATTTTTTTACCAAAGACGAAAGCACATAACAGAGCATATTGGCCAGCCAATCCAACTAGCCATCAACAATTTTATTATAAATCACTTCAGTATCAAGATCAAAACATCTTCTGAAGCATCACTGACAACATATTTAGAAAGCCCATCAATATTTTAGCTGATCAATGATAGACCAAAACCAAAGAATTAGTAGTAGGAAAGGAAAAGAAAAAGCGAAATAGCCCCAAATGTTTATCGAATGGAGCATTCTATACCAAGTAAAACTGGAAAGTTTGTGTTCCCTTGTCACTCTAAATTCACACCAACAGAGAGTTGGCATCAACATATATTATGTTTTGAATATTTCACACCATTAAGTGCTTAAACATGTGAACTTGGGTGCTATAACATGTGAGCAAGATCGAGGGAAAAAACATATTGAACTTACGTAAAGCTTTGAATTGGTACTAAATTCAAATGTTATACAGTGGTTTTTACTGAAACTCAGGAATATTGTTGTCCACTTCTTCTAGACCAGAGACTATGCTGGCTAACTCTTGCCATGACACTCCATCTCAAGGATGTACCTCGAGAAACATTCGTCCCTTTTGAGAAACAGTCACGACTTTATTCTAGAACAACAATTGGACAACAAAGTCATGAGACCTTTGTCAGCAAATTGACAATTGGAATTGATGTGGAAAGAACGAGAGGAGAAGAGGGGCACTCTGGTTTATAATTGCTATAAGGGAAAAAGCTGTGCTTTCTTTCTTTCTTTTTCAAGTAGATTCAAGAATAGTAGTAGCGTTTTTTGGTATGTAAATGCTCCTACCAACATGCCACTATTATCGAAAAATATAGACATTAGCAAATAAAAGGACAAACACAGTTTATTCACACCATACACTACAATGAATAAGTCATTAGGACTATATACCTGCATCAATAACCAATGGAACTTAACAGAATTGACCGTGATCTTAAGATATCAGCATGCATATCGATAGATATCCCTTAACAAACTCAGAACTTCTATTATATAATTTGCATATTCTCATTGTCAGTTACACAAATTCAACCCCAACAACAATTTCTCATGCCATTTTTATATCATGAGGGAGACCATTAGAAGATACAGAAGAACATTTCCGTCATTGTAATTTAAGCATAAAAGTGAGCAATATTTTATTCGGTTGGCTTCCTTCCCATGAAAATGTTTTTCAAGGATGCTGGTATTATAATCCTTTTATCTTACTTGTAATGTTCATCAGGCAAGTCGGAAACACAATCAAGTGCACTGCCCTGATTAACTACGTCCATAAATAGGTTGCTTTATCTTAGTTGAAAATTTATTAGTCCTGAATTTCTCATTCAAACAAATCCAAAGCGTCGTTGCAAGCTACTTAGAAGAGAGGCTCTAATCTAGATTCATTAGAAGCAAGTAGTTTCCTTCAATGAGGAACAAGATATCCAGAGGGGAGTTCAGGGCCCTGGAGTTGGTTATGTAACTTATGTCTTTTTAGCATAAAAAGAAAAAAAATATCCAGAGGGGAGTCGTGGCCAATTAATATATGTTTATGCCTTTCTCATACAGCCTTTAATGTCTGGGAAGATATTTACTCGAAATTGATCATATTCAATTTCAACGTATCACTTGTCCCATCAAAACCACAAATATCTGGGTGTGGAGGACACTTCATCATAATTTAAATTAATTACAAGGTAGTTGTGATGTATGTTTACTCGGAGTGGTGGAAACTTCATCATAATTTAAATTAATTACATGGTAGTTGTGATATATGCTTACTCAGTATGTAGGACACTTCATCATAAATTAAATTAATTACATGGTAGTTGTGATATATGTGTAAGGTGAGTCGAGAGTAACCATCATCATTCTTACCTTTCGTTCGTATGAACGGGTCGGCCCATGAATTCTTTTTTTTCCGTTCTTTACTCTTTTTTTCCTAAATTTTTTCCCTTCTTTTCTATTATAGGTCTTCTCTTAGACTTAATTTTTTAAAATAATTTTCAATTACTTCATCACACTTTTGATCGTTCGGCCTCTTTGTCGTTTGCCTTCTAGGCAGGTAAACAACTCGTCCTCTTTTAACCGGTGCATCATCGGGTCGGTTGTTCATTATTTATAGGTGTTATACATAATGTTTCCCTCACATGTTAGTCAAGAGTAACCGTGTATGACAAAGTAGATTTCACTATGCCACAATTTGGCATTAGACAGAAACATAATCATCTAGTTTCTGTAGTCTCTTCATATAAAAAAAAAATTAGACTCTAATACCATATACTGTGTAAATATACATCATAAATTTTTAAAAAAGACTCTATTCATGAGGTTAGTAGGCAAACCAATAATAAGAAGAACCTATATCACAAATATGGCATAAAAACACAAACCCAGAAATTAATTAGTACAAGCAAATTAACAAACACCTTATAAACTCAATCAAGAAGCTGAGAAGTGTAATAATGTCTATATGCATCAAAAGAGTGAAAAAATCACAGAAATATAAGCTTACCAGGAACAGAGGAAGTGCTTCCTTTATTGAAGAAACTAAGGAACATCAAAGCAGTCCCAATGACACAAAACAAAACCCGGAACCCAAAAACCTTCATAATTCCCAATATCAAATTGCTCAAAACAAACTCTCTCTCTCCCCCTCTCTCTCTCTTCAAACCCTAATATTTCTTTCAATTCAACTTTCAAAATCTAAGGGCTCTCTCCAAAACACCACCTTAAATAACCCAACCCATTTGGAAAATTTCTTCAGAAAAACAATAAAATATAAAAATATGGGTGTTTTTGCCTTTCGTCACCTACTTAGATTAAGAACAAAGTCGACCAGATAATCCGCAGAGATAAGGAAAAACTATACCTCCAAACCCATATCGGTGTATGCATGTAACAATATATGTGTGTGTATATATATATATATGTATATAGGAGTAGTAAATTGTTTAATTGAATTTAATAGTGCAGTGAATGGATGATTAAGAAGGTCATGTGGGTTTCGTTGTCTTGCACTGCTGCAATGGATGTAGAGAGATTTATTGCGTTTGTTTGTTTTGTGCAGCAGAAACAGTGGGGAATGAAGCGAATTGAATGCCTGGGCGTGGTGGAAAGCGAGCCATCTGAATCTGAATGTGGGCAGGTAGCCTTCTCTTGCAAGATTGATGTTTGTGCATTAAGACAAACACTTATTATTGAACAGCTTCTTGACAGAGACCCCTTTTCACCGATTCCAGGTGTCCCCTACCCTGGCACGTAGTACTTCAATTTTTTTTTTTTTTTTTTTCCTATATTCATGAAATGGGTAATTCGAAAAATAATAATAATTATAATCTTTTATGTATCAAGTGATGAAGCTCGTACCTCATTCACATATTCTTTCGTACCTCATTCACATATTCTTTATTCTAAATCCTTTAGATTTGGGGGTGTATCATTTGTTAAAAAACAAAATTATTCTGCTTTTGTAACAACTCTCATATGCTACGTTTAGTGTGCAGGAATGGAATGGAATAAAATATCCATTCTAACCATTCTTTTGTTTGATATACAACTTAAAGTAGGAATGACCATTCCATTGGAACGAAAATCTATTTCAGGGAATGAAAATCCATTTCACAACTAAACTTATAGAATGGTCATTCCATTCCCAAGTAATTTATTTTAAAAAATCGACTTCCTAAAACACCAAAAACCACCATTACCTTCCACTTCAATCATCTCCGCCTTTCACCACCACCACCACTACCACTGCCTTCCACCACCACCGACTTTCATCATCGCCCACCACTTTCCACCACCACCACTGTACCGCCACCGCCTTTCACCACCGCTACCTCCACCGTTTGCAGTAACCACCACCGCCACCTTTCATCATTACTATCGCCACCACCACCACTGCCATTGCCTTTCACCACCTTCCACCACCACTACCGCAATCGCCTTTCACCACTGCCACCACCTTCCACCACCATCACTGTTATTGCTTTTCATTACCACCACCGCCTTTCACCACCGCTACCGCCACAACCCTACACTACCATCGCTACCTTCCACCACTGCCACCCCACCGCCACCGCCGCTGCCTTCCATAACCACCAACGCAGCCGCCATCGCCTTCTACCACCGCCACCACCACCACCGCCACCGCCTTCCACCACCGCCGCCGCCGCCTTCCACCACCGCCGCCGCCGCCTTCCACCACAACCACTACACTACTGTCACCGCCTTCCACCAACACCACTGCCACCTTCCACCACCACTGCTGTCACCAATTTCCACTGTTACCACCGCCGCCGCCTTCCAACACCACCACCGCCACTGCCACCATTTATTTTTAAAAAATTATTAGAGAATAATTTTTTGTTATTTTATTTTAATTTAATATATTTGTTACTAAGAGGGATATTTTGGAAAATTTAATTAGAAATTTATTCCATTATAAATTTTAAATTGGTCTAACCAAATATTAGAATGGTTATTATCATTGCATTCCTACACATTTCATATTTACAACCAAACAATAGAATGAGAATGACTATTTAATTTCATTCCCACTTACATTCCATTCTATTCCTGTACATCAAACTTAATATAATAGAGGGAGTTCAACAAGAGTCTTATTAGTAACATTTTAAAAAGAATAATAAAAAAATTAAATATTTATCTCAATTATCGACTATCACATCGAGGCTATCACATCGAGAACAATTACCAATTTGTTGACTTTATCATTTTCGTCATAAAATATTAGAGTCATTACAAAAACCGATCACTATGTATGGGAATTGTTGTTCATGCTCCAAGTCTTAGATCAATGGTGGCGGAATTAGGGATTTACTCGAGAGGGACAACAATTAACAATACTATGATTGAAAAATTAATAAGAAAAATGCTTTTAAAGTTGATAAGTTGTAGAGAATTTCTCGATTGAATACTTTTGAATTTCAATAAGAATAATGATTCTAAGATGATCTTCTCATGAGAAGAGTTACGAACTCTTTTTTTTTTTTTTTTTTCCTTCGACTTTTGAATTGAAACATGTATTAAAAATTCATTTAATTTTTCACACATCTTAAAAAATTGTTTCAATCTAATAGCTAAACAAGAAGAACTCACCAGTCTTCTCATCATAGAGTCCTCTTAAGAGCACTACTATGTATTTTTTTAAAAAAATTGTTAAGTAATTGTGTTAGGAAATGAGAAGTCTTTTTAAATTTTAGAGAATTTTCTTTAATTTTCTTTATTTTTTTATTTTTTTATTTTTTGTGTAAAATATACAAATAAATTGCCCCCACTAGGCCCAATTGTAGACTCTCTACTTTTATTTTCAAATTTAAATAATAACCAAAGTTACCCAGGTCACACCCATTTCAAAATCTAAAACCGAGCAAAAGAAGAAAAACCAAGATTGCCAAGGCTTAAAAAATAATTAAGATATGTGATCTAGCTGTATCTTCTCTCATTCTAAAGTAAAAGATTATATGTAATGTATTGTGTTCTTGTATAAATTTTTTTAATATAATATTGAGGTTTTAAAATATTCAAAATACATGAGTGATTTTTTTTTTTTTTTGGTCCTTTGGAGATTTGAACCTTCACTATTCACTTGAAATGTAGAAGAGATACTACTTAATTCACAATACCCTATATATGAGTGATTATTTGATCTAAAAATAATTAGTTCAATTGTCGATATCACGTTACAACTTTGAAGTCTAGGATTGTTTCCGGTTATAAAAAAAAACAAACAAATGCTACAATTGGTTATGTTTTGAAACCTTTAATTGAATTCATTGAGAGATTATTACCGTCTAATATTTGATTAGAATCGGAATTAGAGTGCAATTTGGGGACGATTTTACAATCGGGCAGGAAAATTGAGTCAGGGTTTGGAAATGGTAATTTTTTTGCTCATTTGTAATGTATGAATGAATAATAATACGATTCCATTAATTAGTACATAGTCCATTTCAATAGGACTTAATAGAGGGTTTATTAGTAATTACAGTATTATTTAAGTGGTGGAGTTATTTCCCGTATTTAGGTGTTCATATTTGAGCCTTATACTTTTTTCCCTCACCTCTAACTTCTAACCCGAAACAAAAAAAAAAAACACAAAAAAAAAAAATTACTTTTCCAATCCCACATTTTTATAGTAATATATTGCTTGTTGCTCTTCATGAACCATAACTAATAAATGCTCTTATTTAACATAAAAAGTATACACTTGGCATAAAAACTATACACTTGGCATTAAATATGTATAATCTTTTTCCATAACGTGGTTTTCTCCTTTCTTCCAGTAACATCACATTTTGGGTTGCACTAGGATTGAAAAAACACATTACCAAATAAGATGGTGAAAAACATTTAGATTGAAACAACACGTTACCAAAGAAGATGATGGTGAAAAACATTTAGATTGAAACAACACATTAACAAAAAAGAAAAAGAAAAAAAACAAAAACACATTAACAAACAAGATGGTGAAGAACATTATTGAATCAACACATTAAAAAACAATAATAATAATAACACACACAAACACATTAACAAACAAGATGGTGAAATTTTAGGTGGTATTTCAATTTCTCAAACTTAATTGGGCTATAATGGCAATGGTGTAATATCCTAGGCTAGTCTTGTTTTAAGAATTTTAATGTAACTTGAGCACTCAAAGAAAGTATTCCGACTTGTAACATTCTTTCTATCATAACTCGCAACGTCTTTGTTTGTCGGACCATCCTGCCTACTAGGAGACACACCCGACTCCTCCAAACTGAGATCTGGTTTTGATATCAACTATAACAGGCGATCTGACCAAAAAATGTAAGCTGTTAAGTGGGACTAACACTCAACTCATATATACCATTCACTTCCCTATCCAGATTTGAAATAGGACAAGTGTTCTAGGTAATGACCCATCTATAATAATCATCCATTGGACCATCGTATTAGTTTTTGCTCTGATACCACTTTGTTAAAAATAAGTGGTCAAAATGTGTGCCCACACACACACAAACACTCAATATTTAGAAAGAGAAGTAGATGGAGGAACACTTGAAAAAATATCTTATTTCACTTATACCATTTCATCTTATACCATTTCATCTTATTCATCTTTTCTCTACTTCTAAAATAGGTATATTCATTGCCCAATAACCTCCCTACTCTCACTAACATGATCGTTAGTAGGCATAATTTCTACTAACATGAACATTAGTAGTCTTGTAACTCTTGTCTCTTGATTTACATAACTGCCACGATCACACTAACCTAGGACAATTAACTACCACTAATATGGTAAATGCAAACCAAATACTTAAAAAAAAAAAAAAAAAAAAAAAAAATTCACACTAATTCCTATTAAGACAATTAACTACCACTAATATGGTAAATGCATACCAAATACTTGAAAATAGAAAAATACTAAAATCAAATTTATTTTTCTAACACATTGACAAAATTGGCGGGTTTTGCTCCTTTTTATTTGGAAAAAAAAAAAAAAAATGCTGAGATCATTTACTTCTCATTCAATCACAACCGTCTTCAATATACAAATGAATTTGATTTAAGTTAGTCCTCACTTCTACTTTAAAAAACTGGACCCATGTAGCAAGCTGTGATCCAAATTCAAAATGCATAACCAACCAAACCGACAACAAAATTTCCACACCAAACAACCCATGCTTGCTTCAAATTCAACGTCCTGAGGTGAGTGAGAGTGACAATTATGAAATTATTAATTATCCAAGTAATTCAAAAAGGTCTTCCATATGCTGAGTGAAAAAAAAAAAAAAAAAAAAAAAAACCTCCAAAGTTCAAGTATTTCGAATATTATTTTCTAGCCGTTAGTAAATTTGAACACTCGACCTTATCTATTCATACCATCATGCTAGAACTTTAGTTTGGTGACAGAAGTAATACCTATACATGAATATTTTAATTTGAATAATGTATATACATTACCAAAATTCTTTCACAATATTCGTTTGGTAAAAGACAGTTTTGTTTTGATGCCAGATCTTATTCAAAGAGGTGAATCCCAAGTCCAAGATTGTCACGACTTGAATCCATAGGATCCGAATCATGAACCAGAAAGGACGTAAAATAATCCCGGGACCCTCTGGCACATATCCCTTACACACAGAAACACATACAAATGTGATAAAAGGGAAAAATGAAGCTCGGTCCTCACAAAGATAGATAAGAGCACCAAAAGCATACAAAATCTAATTATGATTTAACACCATATAGAAGTCCAAAAATATTACATACAACAATTTATTTCATACCACGGGGACGAACAAAACCATACTAGGAGCCAAAAGTCCACCAAGAAATTACATGATAATATAACATACCAGCAGATTATTTCATTGGAGACATGGAATAGAAAGCAGTGACCTACCGGCAGTTAAATTTCATAGATGGCCGGTTCGCTAAGAGAAGCAGCGTCTCATTCTATCTCTCTTTACTCTTCTTTTTTTTTTTTTTCTTTCTTTTTTCTTTTTTTCCATTTACATGTCCTTTTAGACGAATTAATACTGATGTACCTTCCACAAGTAGACGAATAGCTTGAATGTTTACAGAGGGATCACAGATTAATAGCTGCGGCAAAGATATGGAGCTTGCCTGGTACACTCGAACATGTTCCAAATACGTCTTCTTTTTGGAGTACTGGATCTGGATCCAGTGAGCTCTGATTCATTTCTCTGCAACATCTCCCACAGCACACGGACATCCTCATACTCACAAGTCTGAACATCTTGCTTCAACTTCACTATACCTGCATATGCTCAAAAGCCGAGCTCAATCAGGCCGAACATCCAACTGTTTGAGCTTTACTAGATCAAATCAGAAAATTGTTTAAATGCAGCTAAAGTTTGACTTGAGTCTAAATATTCGAGTTTTGTTTATTAGACTTGTTTAGTCAATGTCGGAGTACTCATAATTAGTTCAAGTTGAAATCGAGCTTGAGATAATTAAAGATTGGTAAAGTTGAAAAAAAGGTACAATCAAGCCCTAATAAATAAACCATGTTCATGATCCCAACCGCTTATATGTTCATGAACTATGATCACCAACTCTTGGCTCCACAAATTTACTAATGAATTTAAAAGTATTGTTCAAGATGACTCATTAATAGGAAAATAAACATGACCTGAGATCTTGTCAAGCCAAGTCAAGGTGTTCATAACTCATAATCAACTCAATCGCCTCATTAGTAACTCTATCACCAAGAAACCACTCCTTGATACAATTCAAGTAATGACTGGCTCAGATTCAGGTCTGAAAATAGTCATCCTATGCAAAATAATACTAAAAATTAGATCTCATTTCATTCCCGGCACACCCACATAAGTGCACCAATATTGAGTAATGGCCTCTTTTAAGAGAATACAAGTGTGTGGTAAACATTTCTGATTTCCCTCAATTATTTTACGAATTAAACTGATTAAATAGTTTTAAATCTCTTCAAATGAATTTATAGTAGAGATAGCTAGGGCAGGGTCATTTTGCAGTCTCTAATACACATAAATGCTTATAATTTTACTTCTTTCCATGGTTGGTAGTTTGGGGAGTTTACAATTCTATCATGTGTCGATTAAAAAATCTAATGAAGAAAAAATAGATAAGACCAATCAACAACTAGAATTGGCTCTTAATCCCACAAAAAATAGAAAATATATATATATGAACTCTAATACATAAACTGGTACCAAGAACTTCAAGTGATGCACATCGATGATTGATTTCAAATAGTAATCGTGACCCATCCCCTGGTTTAAAAAACGCCCTCCCTAACACAATCAACTAAGCAAACTAGTAAGCACATTGAGTACAACAAACTCCTTATACCATACTATAAGAATCCAGTTGTAATCAAAACAAACAGAGTAATGCTATCGGGATAGCCCTCTTATTAAAAGAGTCACATGGTCAACAAATAGAGAGCTCAGACTCTTGTCATGAGATGACTCTCTTAATAACATTACCCCAACAAATATCCCTTACACAAATATATACCTATATATAGATATAAATAAATATGGACACACTTTTTTGTCCCCCGAAGAAGCTCGCACACTCACATTGCCCCTAAAAGGACTAGAATTCTCGACCTTCTACATTGGAAGGCGAGAAGGTACCATTGGAATACAACCACCGGTGGTATATGAACACCTATTCGATTATTTTATTTTATTTTTTTCCCAAGTCATCTATTTAAACATTGATATACTTCAATTACGGAATCATTCAGGGATGATTTTGGCATACTAGGGGAAAAAGAAAACCTTATGATTGGTACTGCTTTTCTTAATTTTGTAGTGAAATCAAAATGAGGTCAAGCTTCATTAATATAAACAATAAAAGATCACCATTGACAACAATTAAAGGTAACTGCAACAGACATTACGAATAAAAATCATGACCCAATCTCATTGGAATTAAAGGTACTGAAATTGACATTACAAATAAAAGATGAACACTGAAAACTAAAATTAGAGGAAATTAGAATTGAAAATTACCGGTTTTTCGAATGCCAAGACGAGTAGCCACGCCAGTCCAAGCTCTTCGCACAGGAACTGTCATATTGCGCCAGCACTCCATCGTCAAATCCTCGTCGTATGATGAATGATGGCCCCTTTTGGCCTTAGGCCGGTCCGGCGACATATATATATATATATATAGATATATATATAAATGTCAGATTGAAATCAAAATATGTGAAACCTACCGAACAACAAAACCATAAACAGTTAATTCTTCAATTCAATATATATATATATACATTGAAAATCAATGATATCAGAATCTGAATAATGAAATCAAAATATGAGATACCTACTACTAATCAACAAAACCATAAATATTTAATTCTTCAATTCAATACATGCATACATTGGAAATCAATTGTTTCAGAATCTGAATAATGAAATCAAAATATGAGACACCTACTGATCAATCAACAAAACCATAAATAATTAATTCTCCAGTTCAATATATATATATATAAATATACATTGAAAATCAATGATTTCAGATTCTGAAATCATAATAATGAAAGAATGATGGATTGCACATTGGATACCTAGAAAGGGAATAAATCGGCGGCAACTTATCGGTTTCTCTCTCTAGAACGTCTCCGCCTGCAGGAGGTGAGGGAGGGAGGTGGCATGTTCGTCCTCCGTCACTGGAAATAATCGTTGCCCAACGCCTGTTTGTTGACGCAATCAATCAAAATCAGGAGGACACGTGTCAGATCTGTCCCCTGGATCCGATGCTACTTGTTTGGACGTGTGGGACACGTGGGGAAATTTGATTGGTTTTCCTCGTTTTGACCGTTTGCTGACCAGTTAGTAGTTTTCCTATCTTGGTGTTACTTTACTTGTGATTATCGTACGCCCCATGTGAAGATATGATTCTTGGTGGGCCTGATGTCCTTTGCCGTAGGCCCATAAATATTCGGGAGGTGAGACACCATTGATTACATGCATAGGGTGGGCCGGTGGCCCTTGCCAAAGTATAAGATTGTTCCTTTCTGATTTGTGGTTCCGGTTTTAAACTGAAAATCATGATTTGCGGTATCGATTGTTTCTTAACTTTTTTTTTTTTTTAAGATTCGATATTATTATATACCTTTATAAATTGATCGGTTCGTTCAATTTATCTCGATATTCGTTTAAATTCGTTACATCGCGACCGTGAATGATATCACAATTAATACCGCAATTACGAACTATGTTAGAAAATATTTTCTTTATGTAGAGTGGAGATAAACCACGTACATCTTCCTTTCTTTAAATTTTTAAATGACCGAAAATTTTGTTCACTAAACTAACCAAAAACATCATGATTAAAGAAGCCATACAATCGTATAGGTTTAGTTAGAACAAAAAATTTGTAGGAAAGTTGTGGAAGATCCTTAAAGAGAGAAAACTAAGGGATGATAAGGAACATTTTGAGGGAGAAATAATTTTTATTAATTTTTTATGAAAAAAAAAAAAAAAAAACAATGTTTATCAATGTTTGCTAGTATAGTTATTGCCCTGTCCTTAACAGAGTTTTACCTTTTAAGTTCACTGAAAAATTTAAAAAATTAGTCCTATTTTCAAATTGTAAGGACTTGTATAAATATCATTTTGACTGATACGGTGGTAATGGAAATTTGGTGACCTCTTTGTTAATTGAATAAGAATCTTAGCTCTTCTTGACCTCAATAAAGTGGTGCTTAATTTTCCTTGAATTGAATGTTACTAAAATTAGCTAATATCACATGTAAATTTTTAAAAATGAGGACATACAGTTAAGAAAAAAAAGCCATATAAAGTAAATAAAAAAAAAAAAAAAAAGACATATAAAGTAACAAGCAAACAAGCTCATTCAGTTTCCAAAACCTACTTTGTGTCACACCAATATTTAATAAGCCATATAAAAAAGGAAATTAATCAACTTCCATTTCAGCAATTGATTAATTCCTCAGGTTGATTAGCACAGAACATAATTAGCAACTCCAGAAGCCCGTCAATCTCATTATCAAGTTGATAATTTAGCAAAGTACTCTTGAATGAGGAATGCAGCTTTTCCTTCATCTCCTCCGTTGGCGAAGACGATTTGCCAAACAAGGTACACAGAAAGCCAACCACTTTAGCCATTGCAGAACCGAAAAAAGTTCTTCATTTTGATGACAAATTGTTTGACAGCATCAACTGCTGCACTTACCTTCGTTGACACAAACTTGTAGGAGGTTTCAAGCTGAGATTTCATACATGAAAAAGCTTCACCAAGCTTCCTAAGTATGTTGTCCATTGAGAGTTACCGGTTAAGCAAACAGATTTATTGACTGTAGGATGCATTCAATACGAAGAAGGAGAGAACACACACAACTTTTATATATAACTCTTGAATTCAAGAACATGTATTTAAAGACACCAATACATAGACTCTAGAAAAAAACAAAATACAAGACAATAAATAAGACACTAACTAGTGTTTTATCTCCCAATTCATGAATTTGGTTTAATTTTCCAACATCGATCAATTTGCTTTGTGTGAGACTTAATATATAGTCAGAGTTGGGAAAGCCTAAGGTCCCATAATTAATCAAAATTTCCGTAATCAGTGCTTTTGGTGTTGCAGCAAGAAAATGAAGCAATGATCACGAGAAAGTAGAAGAAATAAAAACTGTGAAGTATCAAAATTAAAAGAACGGTTTGCAGATTAAGTAGCTTGTTGACTTCATCTTATTGGAGTTGAGTGAGTCCTCTTTCAATCAAGCACAAGATTTAAGTCCTTATTATAAATTAAAATTTGATGGCCTCTTATTAATTGACTGAGATTCTAAGCTCTAGCTAAAGATAAATAAAGTGATTGCATAATTTCCTGTTAATTACTGAAATAGAAGAAAAGTGGCAAATATCACCACTGAGACAGCATGTTATTAGAAAAATGAGGACACAGTTTTAATCCTATACAACATCTCATAAACATACCTTAACATCCCTAACAAAACATCAAGATAATCCATTTATAGTCCTTTCAAAGTTATAAGTCCATTTCAGTTTCCATAACCTAATTTGTAGCACACCAATAATTAATATCCAAATCCGAAAGCATACTAAGGAAAACGACATTCATATTAGCAATTGATCATAGCTTATTCATTTTGACATAGCACCTTAGAGACACTCAAGTCAAGCTTCAAGGGATTATTAGGCCTAAAGTCGAAGTAGTTAACATCGCTAACTACTAAGGCTGAAAGCTCATGATTTAAACAGAGAGGCCCTTCTTCATGCCAAAAATCATTTTCATTGCACACCTTAACCTTAAAAAATAAAAATAATAATAAAAAAAGGTCTCACACCTCATTTCTTTTGAGTACTTTTTTTCATGCCAAGAAACTATAGGAGGTTGATTTCACTACCCATAACCTTCTACCCTTCAACAGATAATTTTGTACTCATCTTTTCTAGATTGCAATATTTAAGGAACACAGAAAAGCCAACCAATTTCGCCATTGCAAAAATGCTCTTCCAGACTACAGAATCAGACTTCTTAATATTGCAAGATCAGTAAGATATCTTCTTCTCATATTTGATCTTGAACCAAGCCACCTATGGAGAATCCTTACACTGAAGAAAATCCTCCTTCAGTAGAAGATCCCCAAAGAAAATCTCATCACTTTTAACTGGAGGATCAAAGACAGAGACCAATAATAGCAAAAAAGAAACCCTCCTTTCTCACTTCAGGACTAAGTTCAAGCTCCCAATTTTGAGGTTTCTGATCCATAAGCTTAGAAAAATACTCTGAAACTAGGCCGAATAGCAGAGGAGACTGCTGTCAACGATGCATAGTATGATACTATGATCAACAGGTTTCCTTCCATTTAGAATCTCTAGCAGAACAACCCCAAAGCTTTAAGAAAACCGCTCTTCTGCATCAATTGTCCAGTCATTGCATATCTGCATTCATACATAATGATCTTGTGTATGTCTCCAGCCATTTTCTTTTCCATGGCATTCAACGAATCCGGTTGAAATGGGCAAATGGCTCCGGGTTTGCCTTTGGTGCAGGTTTTGCCACTTCAGGAGTCCCAAAAACATTCCAAAATCTGAGAGTTTCATCCCCTGCCGCAGATGCAACAGTACATCCATCTGGGCTCTGAATAATAAACAAGAGAAATCAGAATAAGACAGAAAATAAAAGAAGAAAAAAGAAATGCTAAGTAGTAACAACAAACTTTCTGCAAAACAAAGTTTTCAGATTAATTTAGTACCTGAGCCATGAAAAGAACTCTGGATGTATGACCAGTAAGCTCTGCTACCTTCACCATTGACGGGTATTTCCAAAGAGTGAGCTGATTCTGAGTAAAACCATGAGAACTAAGCAGCTCACACTCATTCTTGTTCTACAACAGAGCACAGACTTGCAAGCCTGTGTCAACCGAATTCAAGCATGCTCCAGTGTGGGTGTTCCAAAACTTTATGCACCTGTCACCTGCTCCTCCACCAGAGGCCAGCAAGTTACCCTGGAATGGGCACCAAGCAAGGGCTTTCACGGCAGCTGTGTGGCCTTCGAGCCTGTGAAGCCACTGCGTCGGGGAATTAGAAGAGGCCACTGATCTGTCCCATATATGGAGTAGATTGTCATTTCCTCCACTTGCCAATTGCTTGCCTGAGGCTGACCATTTTAAGCCACAAACTTCTTGATGGTGCCCCCTATATGTGATCTCACTCTTACATCATTGTTGACGATTTGACCGTCCATCCCTCCTATAGTCAAAATATGATTGTTCCAATCCAGGGACCCAACTCGTGATTGATGGCCGCCTCTCAAAGTTCTTAACTGCAGAAAATTGCACCATAGTAAACATGGTAATTAGCAAAATATAACATCAAAAAAGAGGGAAAAAAAGAATAAGAAAGGAAACAATAATATATGTTAAAAGAGTACAAACCTATCGATTAGCTGTAGAATCCCAAAGCTGGACTTTAGAATTGTTCAAGCCAATAGCAATGTTTCGGCCATCATGAGCCCATTTTACACTTGTAACAGGTCCATTTTCGTCATCAAGGGTGAGAAGTTCTGAGGTAGAACCATCAGAAGCATCCCATAGATATACTGTGTTTCCAAGAGCAATGGCAAGAACATTGTTGCTACCCCAATCTAATAAATTTAAGTAGTAATCATCAACAAGATCGGGAGCATCTAATGTCTTCTCAGAAGTCTGTGAAATAACACACAATAACACCATTCAGTATTTGAAGAAAAAAGATTAAGAACAATATTCAGGCCATCTAATAGATATCCACCTGGGGAATGTACCGACGAGGCTTTGTGGGTTTGGACTGGTGAACTGATGAGGAGAAATCGTAGGGAATCGCCTCAACTGGAGTAGGAGGCTTGTTCTTAAAAGCCAGTATACGGGTCCGGTTCATGTTGAAGGTTTCTGCCAGTTTCTTCTGGTATGCTTCACTACATGGAGAGCTCTCAGCCGGATTCTCTTTGCCTTTCCTCTTTTCAGTCAGCATGTAATGCGCATAGTCGAAATCCATTGCAGATGGATTTGGTATGAATCTGTCCAACTGTTGACACAAACAAGAAACTTATAATGAGTTTAACAGAAACATGTGAATTTCTAGAATTGTACTAAACAAAACCCTGGCTTCAGAAATCCAATTATGAAGAAAATGTTATTTGCAAACAAATTAA